GGACTTCAACATATGAATTTTTTTGGGGGGGTAACAATTAAGCCCATAACAGGTGGGGTGCTACAGAATGACTCAAGTCCACTACTGTGTCCACACACAGGATACCTGTATCACCCTACCCCACCATGCTGTGACAATGCAGGTCACCTCTGCCACCTTCCTCAGGGCATACACCCAAGTCCACTGCCTGTGTAGACATCCAACTGGGTGTAAGAAGACCGTCTCCCTTGTGGAAGGTTTTCTGAATCTCTTACCCATGACTCTCTTGCAGCAACCCTCACTTGGCTTTGGAGGGGCAGAAAGGGACTCACCCCACTATTCCTAACCAACAGTGACTTTTGAAAATTCCCTCACTCTTTCTCCTCCCCAATCTTCTGCTCATATAGGCTGGGGTGATGGTTGAGCTTGGCAAAAGTGGGTCACTTTTTAAGAGGCCTTGGAGGAAGCATCCAACCCAACTGTTGAGAGCATCTTGCCATCTCTTTCTTTGCGGTATGGGGTACTTCACACCATTATGCCCTTAGCTTTGGGTCCAAGTTGTCCATTCACTGGCTAAAGGAAATTTCTACTTAAGTAATTTATTTTTTTTTAAATAATACAAGGGCTAATCTAAATGCCCATTAATAGAAGAGTGATTGAATATAGCATGAAATTCATTATGGTATATCAATGTAAAAAAAAATTTCTAAACTTACTGACATGGAATGGGACCTCAGATATATTTAAAAAATAAATCAAATCACAACATGGCATGTTTAGAATGATAGCATTTGTATAAAGTTATAAACATTTATACATATTTTGGGGGATAGATAATATCCAGAAGGAACAGAAATATACTATATTAATAGCAGCTACCCAAATGGAGTAGGTACAGGGAGAAAGGGGCTTTTCTGTGGCACCAGCAGGTGCCACATTTTAAAATAAAGAGGTAATCTAAATATAATTAGATGCTATAAGAGTTTCTAGAAATCTTCTCTTGAGCAAAGTCACGTTAACATTAGAAAACGTAAGTGCTCAGTGAGGAGTAATTCAGCTGTTTATCGGTAGCCCTGTTACGCTGTCACATCCTACGGCCACATTACCAGCGATCTTAATGTTTTCCAAAATAAAGTGTAGAAAGCAGCAGGCATAAACAAAACATGAAATGTCAGCATCACGGAAGAAAGGCTGAGAAGACCAGCCTCTGATCGGCCTCCCATGATGGGGCTGCTGCTGCCCCCTCTGGTCACGTGTCTATCACATTCGTTTATCCTCACGAGTACTTCCAAAGGTCTCTGATCTGTGCAAGCAGTGGGGGTACGAAAATAAATAAGACACAGACACGCTGCTTGCTTGTCACGGGAAGTGCTGATTCATCTTTGCAGTAGGTCGCTTCACTTTTATTTAATTCTACCCTTGTTTTATGGTCTGTGTCTGACCTCTACCCTCGTCTTTTCACGTTGGCTCCTTTGACTCTTGCTTTGTTTATTTCCCTAGTTTTGTTGCTTTCTGTGTTTTAGTCTTGCATTTTGTTTCCTTAAAAGATAAATTTTTTTCTTCTATTTGGGGTTCTGAAAATGTCACTATTTCATTTATGTTCTTTTCCTTAAAGAAAAAGAAAAAAACTTGATTCCACGTTGCATCTCTCTGCCTCCACAAGTCTTTATACTTTTGTGGGGGTTTTGTTTTTTTGGGTGTTTTTTTTTAAGATTTTATTTATTTATTTGAGAGCGAGATCACGAGTGGGAAGGAAGGGTAGAGGGAGAAGCAGACTCCCCGCCGAGCAGGGAGCCCGATACGGGGCTTGATCCCAGGACCCCGGGATCACGACCTGAGCCGAAGGCAGACACTTAACCAACTGAGCCACCCAGGCACCCAAGTCTTTATGCTTTTGACATTAACATTGGTTTTGGGTAGCAACCCTCTAAGTCACTGTTGTTTCTGGTTCTCAAATGAAGAAACCGAGGCAGAGAACAGAGACATTCCCTTCTGGATGGGCCATCAGCTCCTAAAACACCAGCTGGTACTGTGCTCCCCATAAAATCTCAGGGGGGCAAGAGCACTGCTGGGCAGACTGTACCCAGGGAGCACTTGTTGAATACCTGATGGATGTTCCAGTGTTCTGTACCTTTCGTAACACCAACCTATTTTTATTTTCTGGATTTCCTTCCTTCCTGATGGTTCAATGTTTCCTTGCTTTCCTCCAGCATAAAGTTCCTTCATCTTTTCATTCCCACCCTGTCACTGGCTGTGAATTACAACGGAGTCACCTCTCAGACCCCAGTGACACCGGGAAGCAGGCTGTGGCAAGACAGGGGCAGATTTCTGGAATCCGCTCCTGCAGTCAGCTCCCTATGAGCTCAGGCCTGTGACGGATAGGGACACACACTGAAATGGACACACGGGAAGGAACTGTACCTGAACATTCCAAGCGGTCCCGGTGGTGAAAGAGACATAGAAGGGGCGCTTCCTGTCACTTTTTTAAGCCACTGCTTCCCAAAGCCCGTGCCCGCAGGAGAGATTCCACAGATCTATGCAAAAGGGCTTTGTGCCAGGTAAGTTTGGGAAACACCATGTATTATATCCTCCTTTTGAGACTTTATAATGCACGTGAACCTGTCATAGATTCTGAGCTATCCTATAGAAAATGAATCTGTTTGATTTTGTTTACCTCACAAAGGTAAACCAAGGAACCTTTCTTTTCCCTTCCTTTCCTTTTCTTTTTAACTCTCTCTCTCTCTCTCTCAAGCTGTTCATTCAGAACAAAATTTCAGAAGCACAGCTCTGAAGCCCACATACCCAGCATGATATGTGGGCCTCTCCACACATCTTGGATGCATCTACCAAGAGCCTAGCAGATGCAGCCTCAACTACGGGCATAGTTACTCTTCTTCCATACTAGCAGCTGAGGCAGACAGCCTGCGTTTGAGTCCTGGCTCTGACCTTTTGAAAAGTGGGACCTTCATATATATCAATGAAGTATTACTCAGCCATAAAAAAAGAATGACATCTTGCCACTTGCGACAACATGGATGGACCTGGAGAGTATCGAGCTAAGCAAAATAAGTTGGTCAGACAAAGACCAATATCTATGATTTCACTCATATGCAGAATTTAAAAAACAAAACAAACGAACAAAGAAAAAAAGAGACCAACAAAAAACCAGACTCTGAAATGCAGAGAACAAACAGGTGTAGTTGCCAGAGGTGGGGGAGGGGAGACGATGAGTGAAATAGATATAAGGGGATGAAGAGCGCACTTACTGTGATAAGCACTGAGTAATGTATGGAAATACTGAATCATTATATTGCATACCTGAAACCAATAAACAATGTATGTTAATTATATTTTAATTAAAAAAAAGTGTGGGGGCGCCTGGGTGGCTCAGATGGTTAAGCGTCTGCCTTCAGCTCAGGTCATGATCCTGGAGTCCCGGGATCGAGTCCCACATTGGGCTCCCTGCTCAGCGGGGAGACTACTACTCCCTCTGACCCTCTTCCCTCTCGTGCTCTCTGTCTCTCATTCTCTCTCAAATGAATAAATAAAATCTTAAAAAAAAATAAAAAATAAATAAAAATAAAAATAAAAAAATAAAAGGAATTTCCTGGGACGCCTGGGTGGCTCAGGCATTGGGCATCTGCCTTCGGCTCAGGTCATGATCCCAGGGTCCTGGGATCGAGTCCCGCATTGGGCTCCCTGCTCGGCAGGGAGTCTGCTTCTCCCTCTGACCCTCCCCCCTCTCATGTGCTCTCTGGCTCTCTCATTCTCTCTGTCTCAAATAAAAAAAAAAAAAAAAAAAAAACTGTTTAAATTTCCATTAATTTAAATAGCCACATGTAGTGAACCACTACCATATAGGATAACCATAGCCTTAATATCTGTATCATTCACAAATGCATTGTGAAACTTTACGAGCAGTGTGGATATGCAGTGGCTACCAGGCTCGTTTGACCAGAGAACATTTAAAAATAATTATGTGTCACATGACTAGTATCTTGAAAAATGCACTTTAAATACTTGCACTGAAAAATAAATAAATAATTGACTCACTCTTTCCTGCTTCATTCTAGGCTTGGCTGATAACGTTAGGGTTCAGGATCTTGGCATGATCCCGAAAGCTGGTACAGTGCACAGAGTGACTTTAGTACAAAGTGAGAGTAGGATGCAACTGGAAATTTAAAATTCTTCTTATATGTGCCTTGAGCTGGAAACCCCTGGCAGGTAGGGTTGTACTTGTTTGTTTGTTTGTTTGAATAATCAGGATACTGAGCCTTCTTGACATCACGTTTTTTAATTTCACACATTCTCACACTGAAGTACAAATCTGGGGAACGTCGATGTTAGTTAGAATCTGGTATTCTGCTATATGGTAGCCACTTATCACACACTGGTGGTTACAGCTGTGGCCCAGGAGGTCAAAGGTGGCCCACACTAGTGAGCATCAGTGGTCAAGTCAACTCGAAAATTAACCAAATCCAGCCTAACACCCTCCTCACACATATTTTTTTTTTTTTTAAAGATTTTATTTATTTATTTGACAGAGAAAGACACAGCGAGAGAGGGAACACAAACGGGGAGTGGGAGAGGGAGAAGCAGACTCCCTGCCGAGCAGGGAGCCCGATGCGGGACTCGATCCTGGGACTCCAGGATCATGACCTGAGCCGAAGGCAGTTGCTTAACCAACTGAGCCACCCAGGCGCCCTCACACATATTTTTTTTTTCTCTTCACTTTTATCACTGAAATCACAAGTTGGATGCATAGGAAACGGTTCTCTCACTGAATAATGACAAGGTCTGGATACAGACTAGTGCTGAAGGAAATGAACAAATGCTCCTCTCACCAGGCCTCATGTCTGCAGCACTGGGGCTCGGCATTCCCTCCTCAAAGGGGATGTCCATGCCTACATCCTCTGACGGCAGTCTGGAAAAAAAAATTGCAGAGAGTGTAAAAAATTGTGTGGGATTTAATTTTCTCTGAAAAGGCAACTCAGAGATTCCAGGATAACATTTTCAACTCGCTTGGAATAAACCCAAGTATGTATACTGAAGCCATCGTTAAGTGGCCCCATTTAGAATAAAGACTTTCTGCAGTTACTGTGAATGAGAACCATGGGTACCCATCTTACTCTGTGTACAGAGCAAGTCATTTCTCCTACTAGCTCACACAAGTAAGCACACACCAAGGGAAGAATCAGAAACAGGAAAAGCAAATAACTAATAAAATATACTTACGGTGGGCATTTAATAATACTTTTTCAACAAGAGAGGAAACACACGTGCTTTGGAGTAAAGACAGACCTGACTTCGTATATATCTCTTCCTCTGTGTAAATTTGAGCATATAAAATTGCTGTCAGCAGAGGAAAGCAGACTCTGGTGTCTCTTTATCAGTAAAACAGAGATATACCATCTAGCTCGTTGAGTTGCTGAAAAATTAAGCAATAAATGTAAAGTGCCTAACATTGCTAAGAAGGCACCAACTGATGTTATTTCCTATCCTTCTTTGAATATGTAAAGATTTGTGGTGAATTATATGTTGGTGAAGACATTTCTGGTCACAAGACACCATCTCTTCTCTCTAAATAGTATTGAGCCCAGGACCGTAGGGGAATAGGAAAATACTGGAGAAAACTGTGACAAACGTATATGTTCTCACAGGAAGCTGACCACTGATCACAGTGAATTCCCCTTGACCTATTTTTACCTGCTGTTCCTTGTTTAGTACATCCCCACTTATCATGAGAACATATTTTTCTTCTTGTTGCCTTCCATGTAACTTCACTCATCTAGGGTGAGTCCTTGTGATATAGGCACTAATCTAAATTTAAGCATGATAAACCTTTGTGTTAGTGTTCTAAATTTAATCTCTCCCTCCCTGTTATTGACACTTTCTCCACTTGAATCTAGGTCTACCATATTTGGAATTTGCTTACCTGGATGATCAAGCTCCAGGATTCAAGTCAAAGCCCTTATTGTCAGCAAAGCACTATGATGAAAAAAAAAATGCTTCGTCTCTAGTGAGACGTAGTGCTTCATTTATTCAACAAATAGGTAGTGAACACCTACTCTGTGCTGAGGATATAGAGGAACAGAACAGATGAGCCTCATTCTTGTGGAAATGGGACGATGGGGTTAAACTAGTGACTATCACCGATCACTCGGTGTTGCTCCCTGAGAGAACTGAATGCCCGTGTTGTTAACCATCAACCCCAAAGAATCCTTCAAAAACACAACCTCAGGGAGTTTCTTTCTCCATATGCTTGCTGAGGCTTCTATCCTGTGTGTTCCCTAAAATGAATCCCGCACCCTGGCAGAAAGACAGTGAGCAAGAGGTTGGTGTGTTAGTCAAAGACAATAATATATGGGCAGGAACAAGATAAGCGGTGTCAAACAGAGACACCATACTGGGTGGCAGCAAACCAAATTATCCAGCAATAGAGGTGGGGTGGTGAACAAAGAGAAGACCTGTGCTAGGCCCCAGGTTTGAAAGTCCTGGGACCCAGAGGGATGGTTTTCCATGATGCTGCAGCTTTTCAGATTTTTTTTCAATGATTCTTTGTCATGTGAAGTAATCTGTGTGTATTCTCCTTGACATACACCCTGCAGTACCTAGAAAGTAGCAGATTGCTATGTAAGAGCAGCTGGGTTCCAATCTTAGTTCTATCACTCACTGTGTGTCCTATGGCAAGTTGTCTAATCTTTCTGTGTCTCAGTTTCCACACCAGTAAAAGAGGGAGAATGTGTGATGTCTAAAACTAACACTAAAAGGAAAAAAGAAAAGTTATCCATTATCATTGTAGTTCTTTTTGTCATCTAACTGCCTTCTGTATTAGCCTTGAAGCTTCATGAGGACAGAAACCATGACCGTCTCTACTATTTTGTCTCCAGCACCTGGTAGAGGTCAATGCCCAATAAATATATGTTAAGTTGAATTACTGAGCTTGAAATTACCTAAAGGCACATGTACATTATTTCATCTAGTCCTCTATGAGTCAACCTTAAAAAAAAAAAAAAAAGACATCATAGCTGTACCTACTTCACAGAGCACATAAGGGTGCTAGCCTTAGCTCAAAAATAAATATGAGAGCTTTAAAATAAATAGATAGTATCAGTCTCAAATTTTTGTAGGTTTTATGTGACAACACGGATGGACATAGAGGGTCTTATGCTAAGTGAAATCAGCCAGTGAAAGACAAATACAATTTCATTTATATGTGGAATCTTAAAAACAAAACAAATAAACAAACAAGACAAACAAAAAGCAGAAACAGACCCACAAATACAGAGAACAAAGTGGTGGTTGTCAGAGGGGAGGGAGCTGGGGGATGGGCAAAATGGGTGAAGGGAAGTGGGAGACACAGTCTTCCAGTGATGGAAAGAATAAGTCACGGGGGTGAAAGGCACAGCATAGGGAATATAGTGGTATTGTAACAGCATTGTATGGGGACATATGACAGCCACACTTGTGGTGAACATGGCATAACATATAAAATCACTATGCTGTACACCTAAAACTAATGTAACATTGTGTGTCAACTATACTTCAATTAAAAAAAAAAGATTTGTAGGTTTTGTTACTGTTTGTAAGTTATGGGCAACATCATGAAATAATTCAATGAGTCCTAGATATGAGGCTATAGTTCTGGGTTATATTCTATGTTAGTACTGACAAACTCTGATTAACTCTGCGAAAATTATCCAACAACATTTGTGATTTTAAATAGAGATAATAAACACCTAATATCACAGTGACTGTGGAGAATAAATATAATACATGTGAGTACTCCATAAATTATAAAGCATTGAATAAGTTTAAGGTATTACATTACCTCATTTTAGACATAGTATCAGGATTAGGGATTTAATTGAAGTATGTGTCATGGTTGGACAAAACATAATGAAGGTTACTACAAGCTGGGTAAGAGAAAATTTCAGTATGGCATAGATCTCCATAGAGCCTGTAAGTGCCCTTGAACTCACTGATTTTAGTGAATAGAGCCTTTTTCTCTCACTACTTTTTTGCAACACAGAGCAGAGACCCTGTTAAGAAGGTGCTGGAAAGCCAGTGTTGGCATGCATGGGAGAAGGGAAAGCTGAAGGTTGTGGTCAGGGGTGACCAGAGAAGAGACTCTCACAAACTACGGATATTACAGAAGGCCAGAGGGACATTTTAGGAAACCCACAGGTAAAGAGAAGGAACGCTGAACCAAAATAGCCCAGAGACAAACCTGAAAAAAAACGTAAGTTGTGTTCCTTGTAAATACTTCAACCACATTCATGCTTTGGGTCCGTAAATATTTACAGAAATGACATAGCCAACCAGAGTTGTTGGCGATTCAGCAAGATGGAGTTTTAAGATCAGTAATGTAAGCCTCTCGGGATCTATTAGGTAACAAATCAGTCCAGAGCGAAGATAAATATTTTACCTTATACATCCATAGCCACTATTTAATTTGGGGTTTTCTGTATACAGAACGGCGCTACCGAAGAGGCTGAGGGAACTGTAAAATACAAATCCGATTCTTCTACAGCTGACCTCCCAAACAGATGCTCAGCTCCATGTCTCCATCTAGAGGATGGATCCAGAACTGTTTGTTTGCTGGATGGTTTTATGATCCTTATTGCTCTTTATCAAATAGTTCTGGCTCTTGGCCTTCTGGGCACATGATAAAATTGTACTTTCCTGCTCTCCTTTGAAATTAGGGTGGTCAGGTGATTTGCTTTGAGAGATGAAATGAGAGTAGAAGTGGCAGGTGTAGGGCCAAAGAATTAAGTATGAGCAAGTATGAGGAGGGCGCCATGGGCTACTTACCGTCTAGATGGTTGAGTTGAACACTGTCAGGTCGCAGCCAAGTGGCTATGAGGAGAAGAGGGCCCTACTTGAAGCTCATTGAATATGTAAAGAAGAGAGGAATTTTTATTGTGTTTTGCCCCTAAGATGTTGAGTTTCTCTGTCACCACATCCTAATCCAGCCCATTCTGACTGGTACAGCTGGCCTTTATTATTTGTTTTGAAGGGAATATCTGACTCATACTCTGCCCTAATTTGGGAAACCCATTTCCCACATGCTCAACCGAGGCTCATATTGATGGTACACATCTTGTCTGGGTTACTAAAGCATGAAAGAACACTTCAAAAAAACGAGAACAAAAGCTCAGAAAGACGCTTTCAAGTGTTTTATAAACTTGAGTATTTATATACCATCTTTATAGTTTTTCCATCTAGAACCTGTTAATTTACTTAATGTTTTTCTTTAAATTAACTGATTTTAGTTAAGTAAATTTATTGTGAAAGGAAGATTTGCATCACTTGTATATATGGAGACTTAAAATCACTCGCTTAAAATAGTCACATAAATTAAATATAATGAAAATAAAACAATGCTATTAAATTCAAGGAAGAAACACCTGGGCTCTGACTCTGAGACTTTCTCTCTTTGCTAAAAAAAAAAAATTAGAAAGTGTCTGGCAAAGTGTAATGCCATGTACCGTTATAAATACAAAGAAAAAATGCTGTGTAAGATAAAGCACCCAAAAAGTAATTAATATATTTCCAAACTTGAAAGAAACCAAAGGAAATCCCCAGGTGCCAGAAACAGTGTTACTCCAGAAAGCTGATGAAAAAGGAGTCCACAGGATTTTGGACTGGACACAGGAGTTAGGGCTCCACAGGAGAAGTGACCCCCAGGTGCTGGAAGAAAGGTCTAGACCAGAACTTCTAAATAAGGCACTGGACCTTAAAGAACTGCCCCCTTAATGAAAAGGGGATGAAAAGAAACTCTAGTCTCTGGCCTTGGAAAGTAAGTCTGCCTGGAATCTTGGGTAGAATATGAAGAGCAACCTATGAGAATTAGAGATGCTACTTACATGCCAAGCCTGTTTTAATTTATATTACCTGAATGCTGTAGGGAACCCAAGTCAA